CATCATCATCATCATCATTATCATTATTATTAAAATCTGTTTCAGCCAAATGGCCATGAAATATACAAGAAGTACAGTCTGTAACAATTCGAACCACGTTTCAACGTGACTGCCACCCAAGGATCAAGGTACCCTTCACAGTCGACACCGTGGTTGAGAACAGCAACCCAAGCTACCCTTCTGGGGCATGGACAGAGAGAACCCTCTTCTTGCTGAAGGGCCCGGTTAACCTGGCAATGCTAGACTGACTGTGTTCATTGCTGGCCGTTACTGAATTTCTGAACGGCCACAGGGCTTCTCCTGAAGTTTTAAATGAAACGGTCAGCCACTAGAGCTAACGTTCTTTAGCAGGGGGGTGCTGTTTGGGTAAAAGGGCCGTGTAGGGCACCCAGGCACGTACACAGAGGGGTAGATCCCTCCACACTTATGGCTGAATCTACCCAACTGGAATGAGGCTCCCTGGGACCAAATTCTCCCACTGGCTTCAACATGGGCAAAGGAAGGTCCGTCTGCCTGCCTTGAATTTTCCTGATTGCTAACTTTCTATAACCTTCTTTCTTTCTTTTTTTTAAATCCCTGCTTTTCTTCTTAAAACAGGACCCAAGATAGCTTACATCATTGAAAGCGTTTAAGTATTTCAGGGTAACAACGGTGAGTATAACAAATACTTAAAAGGATCAAATACCTCACTAAAATAAAAAAGGTAAAGAAAAACAACACCAAACCCACATTCAAAGCAATAAAGGCACAACCGTCCCTTTGAAAGCCCCACTCTGGGAAGGCTTGCCTGGAGAGAAAGGTCCTGGCCTGCTGGTGGAAGGATAGCCAAGAGGGGGCCAGGAGGGCCTCCAGTGGCAGGGAGTTCCAGAGTCTCTGGGAGCAGCCACGGAGAAAGGCCCCCTCTCGGGTCCCCACCAAACACACCAAACCTTACCTCTAACTCCACCTCTAGTGTCTTTCATCTGTGCTTTCCCTCTTTATTGTCATGTTTATGGTACGATATTGTCCTTTTTGCTGTATAATTTTTAAAAACAATCATTGTGTTTTACTATCTAATCAACAGGGCTCTGTTGCATTTTCTAGATTTTCAGCTACTCCAAAATGTTATGTGCTTGAAAAAGAAAATGCGGTATCAAGATATCTTAAACAATTTTTAAAAAAGTGTCAGTTACTCAGCAGTGCCGACACCAGCCCTGTACAAATTAAGGTGGACAGTTGGCTCCAAACGGCACCCAGAAAACAACGCCTGAGGCAAAGGCTCAAGGCGGGAATTGAACTCCAAGCAAGGCGGGGGCAGAGGGCGGTCCAGTTTTCTCTTGAAGAACGCCTCCAGTGTGGGAGCACCGCTCACCATCTCTCCTAGAGGGCATGGGCTTCGCTGCTGTACTGCTCAAAAGGTTAAGACGTTTTCCTTAATATTAAGCCAAAATCTGGCTTCCTTTTACTCGAGCCCATTGTTGTGTGTCCTGCACTCTGGGTTGATCGAGAAGAGATCCTGCCCCTCCTCTCTAGGACAGACTTTCAAGTCCTGTATTTGAAAAGTGCTATCCTATCACCCCTCCGGATTCTTTTCTCAAGGCTAAACATGCCCAGTTCTTTCAGCCTTTCCTCAAAAGGTTTGGTTTCCAGCCCCCCGATCATCATCCTTGTTGCCCTCCTCTGAACTAGTTCCAATTTGTCAGCATCCTTCTTGAAGTGGGGTGTCCAGAACTGGGCACAAGGCTCAAGGGCAGGCCTCACCAGTGCTGAATAGAGGGGGACTAGCACCTCGCGGGATTTGGAGACTATACTTCTATTAATGCAGCCTAAAATAGCATTGGCCTTTCTTGCCGCCACATCACACGGTTGGCTCATATTTAGATTGTGATCTACGGCAATTCCAAGATGCTTCTCACATGTAGTATTACTGAGCCAAGTATCCCCATTTTGTAACTGAGCATTTGTGTCCCCTCCGCCCCCCAGGTGTAAAGCTTTGCACTTATCCCTGTTATATTTCATTCTGTTCTTTTCAAGGTCTTTCTGAATTTTGTTTCTGTCTTCAAAGGTATTGGTGAACCCACCCAATTTTTTGTCATCTGCATGTCTGACAAGCATTCCCCGCCCTCCCTCATCCAAGTCATTCATAAAAATGTTGAAGAGCACCAGGCCCAGGGCTGAGCCTTAGGGTACCCCACTTGTGACCTCCCCCCAGCTGGAGAAGAAGCGATTAATCATCACTTTCTGGGTATGAATTCTGTAGCCAACAGTGTATCCACCTGACCCTTAGTCTATCCGGCACACACCTAGTTAGCTTGCTAACCAGGAGATCACCAGGCACTTGGTCAAAGGCTTTTTAGGTCTACAGCATCCCCTCTGTCAATTATGGAGGTTACCCAATCAAAAAATGAGGTAGGATTAGTTTGCCAGAATTCCAGAATTTTCCCTGGGATTAATGTCAGGCCGACTGGTTCTTCCTCCTTTTTTCTTTCTTTCTTTCTTTTTTTTTGCCCCTTTTGTGAAGAGAGGGACAACGTCAGCCCTCCTCCAATCCTCCGGCACCTCACCCACCCTCCGGGGTTTCAAGGAAATAAGAGAGAGCTGTTCTGCCATCCTGGCAGCCGTTGCTCCACTTTATTGCAACAACCGCATTTTCCTCTCCCCAAAACGAGTCACAAATGGGAACGCACTTCGAGTCATTGTCAGCAAGAAATAAAAACCTTTGCTTTCTCTTTTCCCTCTTGGTTTAACAGAGCACATTGCTTTGTGAAGCCATCCCCCAAGGTTGGGAGGATCTCCCAAATCTGTGGTTTTTCTTGCCGTGGCATTCTTCTTGCTTTTGTCGTCCCCCCCAAACACCTTACTGCCTAAGCAGCTTTTTCCTCTTGCTCTGCTCTTTTCATGATGTTAATTCAGAACAAGGGAGAGCGCGTGCTTCCATGTAGTGTACAACCATCAGCGCGGCCCTCAATCCCGCCTCCCTCCCGTCTTTGCAAAACCTGCAAGCAAAAAAGCTTCAGGTGCGCATCAATCTCACAGACAAAGAGAAGCCTCGTTATTTCATGCCCACGTCAGCATCTTCGCAGTCGCGGATTTGTTTCAGGGGGCGCCGGCTGCTAAAACAGGTTCTGAATGGACGAGGGAGAGCAGGCAGGATTCCAGGAACTCTCACTTGGCCTTTTCCCACACAATACCCATCATCAGCTCTCACGGCTCGGTGAGAATTTTAGTTCATGACGGATAAGAATAGAGGAAAGTTCACACATCTCTTCATATTTAGGATGGCAAGAACACATTGTATTTTTCAAAAAAAAATGTGCAAAAATGGGAGACGGCAAAAATGACTGATTCACCCCATTCAGACACAGGAATTGGAGGGACGGATTCTTAAAAGTCAAAAGGTGTGAATCCTGGGCCAGGATCCTTCTGCACAGCTTCCCTGGCACAATGGGAAGGATGTCACACACAACAGCAAATTGCCACTAATTTAAGAGTTTGGTTTTTTTAACAGACTCATGGTGTGCAAGTGACACGCACCTTGACATTTAAAAATGAAATTCTTCCATTAGCAGCAATCCTCCCCTCCCCTGTGGTTTGAGACACTCCTTCCACGATGATGGCCAGATGCTGTAAGAGAATTTCAGCACCGCTGGTGAAGCCGAATGGGGGGATGTTAGTAAAGCAATGGGGTTTACAACCCGGGATCCCCAGATGTTCTTGGGCTACAAGCCCCCAAAATCCTGGCAAGCACAGCTAAAGGTGAAGGCTTCTGGGAATTGAAGCCCAAGAACATCTGGGGACCCAAGGTGGGGAGGATCACCCTACCCATGTTTCTTAGTGCCACAGGATCCCGTCTCTGGCTGCAACCAAATCTAATGATCCATGTTTCAGATGAGCTGCATGCCCCCCCCCTGCTTCCTCGCCCCACCTCCAGCGCCTTCTCAAAGCTTTTTGCTTCACGGATGCCTTAATCTCTCGGCCTCCGGCATAAATCACTTCCCAGATCAAGCCTTGCTAGAAAGCTTTCACTGGCTTCAATTAACAGGAAAAACTCCCATAAAAGCTTCAGCCAGGAACCAATGAACAAACGAAGCAGAAGGGAACAAAGGTTCAGTTGTTCGGCCAAGAACCTTCCGATGCAAACCCCTGGCCTTTTTTTTTAATAGCCCCTTATTTAATTATTAGGAAAAGTCAGGGGGGGGGAGGAGAGGAGGTGTCCATCCAAGTTAATTTCAGAAAAAGATGGTGTTCAATTCAAATATTTTGACCGAAGAAGTATTTTCGCACCCCTCAAGACTCAATGTGAGGGGGAGAAAAAGCTGCAATTGGCCTTTGGAATCTGCCGTTCTGATACTATTCAAAAACATCAGGGACAGACCAACCCATAGTATAAAAACATTGACCGGTATTCTACACCAGATGCAAGTTTCAGCCCAAGACTTCCGTATCTGTCTTAAGTCCAGAAGTGACCACCGCACAGCTGGACAGCTGTCCTGTAAAAAAAAAAAGAGATTTATCGGGACTCAAGGGGACGGATGCTTTCCTGACATCGCCAACGGCACTTACGTTGTAGAGGATGTCGGTCCACCCTTCCATGGTGATGCACTGGAAGACGGTGAGGACGGCAAAGAGGATGTTGTCGAAGTTGGTGATGCCAAAGTTGGGTCCCTCCCAGTATTTCTTGCAGGTTCCTTCTTCGCAGACCCTCGCCGGTTTCTCTTCTCCGCAAGGGAAATCCCCCACCCTCTCTCCTGTGAAGAAGCAAAGCAGTGGGAATGAGGACGGTGTGTGTGTGTGCGTGTGTGCGTGTGTGTCAGTCATCCACAAGCTGTCAAAATTAAGAATTTCAAGTGCTATTTTTTTAAAAATGGAAAAGCTCAGGTCTCATTCAGACTCATTCACTTTATTTGATTTTACTCATTTAATTTATCTTACAGTCTCAAAGATTTAATGAGAAAGGCCACAAAATAACGGACACTCTAAAAACCAGTTAAAACAGAAAGTGAGCAAACTGGCAAGTCCTACAAAAGCATCCAAATAAAACAGATCACAAAAGAAATAAAATGTTTAAAAGGCTGGGGAAATGTAAGGGTCTTAAGTCTTGCGCTGGGAAAAGCATCTAAAACTGGGCATCTAGTCATGAGAACATATCAGAGGCTCTTCTTGTTCTTGAGGCAGTGCGTTCCACAGTTCACCTAGGCATCTTTTTATATTTCCTTCCATTCATCTTCAACAAATAATTCAGAGTTCTAATAATCATGAGAAGAGTGGGGGGAACTATTAAGGAGGAATAATTTTACAGAATTTTTCAAATATCAAATTACACATGGTGTGAAATAAAAGATTTTTTTTCTTTTGTGTAATTCACTCAATTTATACAAAAATGTATACACAATTGCAAGAACGGCTGTCAAGAGCACTTAAAAAAATAGTTCCCCATTACACAGGCAAAAGGCCGGGGAAGACTTGGTTTTCCATGATTTACATCCCAACCATGAAAGGACATGCAATGAAACTAAACAACCCTCTCCCTTAAAAAAAAAAAGTCTATCTCCCTCTGAAGCAGCCAGCCAGCCAAGGGCTGAGTGGTGCTGTCTGCATCCATTATTCCACAAAATGGTGTATGGATAGTTACTTCTTAAAGAAGCCTTTTGTTTTTTTTCTCTCTCTCTCTCTTTTCCTAATGAGGTCTAAGAACATGTATGGAGGATGCTTCAAAACTATGGATCTGGAGTCCCAGAAGAACTGTGATTCTGTGACTTTCAAGTCAATGAAAATAATCATTGGTTGAGCCAGGATCCTTCCCATTCCCTAAGTGTGTGTGTGTCTTCTGTGACCCTAACAGTTCTGTTCAGCCTCCCCCCGCCGCCGCCCAGGGAGTTTCCATGGCTGAGCGGGGATTCGAACCCTGTCCTCCAGAGTCCCCATCTGTCCCTCTCCCCACTGCACCCCACGGGGAATCCACTCCCTACCCATCACAAACTCTGTTCCTAGATCTAGGGAAATGGTTCCGCCCCTCACCTCAGCACCCAAAACCCAACCATCAAGACAAACACTGGCGACGCAAGCTGAGAAATTCTGGATGTAACCGAATTTCCCCTGGAGGTTACTTTCTCAAGCCCTGCCTGTCCCCTAGATTATTTTCAGTTTTCCCGAGCATCTTCCAAGATGGAGAGGCTGGCTTTTCGTTTTGCTCCTGATCTCTAGTGGAGAGAAATTTGTCTGCTGCCTCCTCACGGTCTGCGGTCCTTATCTTTAAAACCAACCCCTGTCAGCCAGTTCCTGCTCCCCATCAATACTCCAGGACATGCGACCTACTGCACTTTTGCTGCTTGCAATCGGATCTGTTGCTGCCCCACACAAATAGGTTCTTGAGCAAAAGAGAACCGGTCCGGTTAAAAGGTGCCTCCGTGGGCGCACCTATCAGGACCAGAGGCTGTGGAAACGATGCTTCTCTCTGCTGGCGCCCCGAGGGGGTTACGTACCTCTGATAAATGGAGCTTCCTTAAGCCAGCAACATCTCCCCGGTCTCCCCGGCTGGCGAGGGGGAAGAAGCCGGGGGACCCGTTTCTCCCAGGAGCAACAAATCTGTGCATCCCCAGGAAACAGAAAGCTTGGGGCAGGGGTCCTTTCCTCCTCTCCCACATTGCTTGATTGGGGAAAATAAATTTGCATCAAGGGCAGGATCTGGAGCCAGAGTTCAGTGACCTTGCGCAGGCCCCTCTTGGTCGGCAGGGTGCTCGGAAAGGCAGGATCTAGAGCCAGAGCTCAGTGACCTTGCGCAGGACTGGACCTTCCATGGCCCCTCTTGGTCGGCAGGGTGCTCGGAAATCAAAACTTTCCTTCTAAGGTGAAATGGTTTCAATTGCGGGGTTCCTGGTATTTGTATCCTCAAAATGTAAGATGACTAACTTCTAACACTGTGCTGGCCTAGTCAGTAACGCTGGCTGCTGTAATAAAAGATGACAGAAGACCTTAAAGACTAACGGCTCCGTTTTAAGGACAGCTTTCGTGGACCAGCCCACAGCCTCAGACTTGCCGTGAGAGGGGACCGGAAAACAGAGCCCTTAGCCTCTCAGGTTGTCGCAACCTTTCTGTCGTCTCTATTTTTTATTTTCCTTTTGTGTTTGCCTGAGATCTATCATGGCTAACCTCTTCTAAAACTGCTTCTAAAATGTTGGCTCTCGGGGATATATATTGGGTCAACTGGGAGCATTTCAAATAGTTTTATCTATTTATTTTTTTTAAAAAAAGGAATTTAAAATAACTTTTAGAAAGCTACTTAGTGATGAAAATGCAATGGCCCACACTTAATAGCACACAGTGAATAAGAAGTTACTTTCTGCTCCCCATTAAAAAAAAAGAAGTCAACCGGTGATTTAAAAAGATTCTAAACCCTGGTGATACATAATTAACCTTGCTCCCAATGAACATCGCTGCCAACAGATAACAGGAGGCGGACGGGACTATCGACGTGGTGCGGAAGCCCCTCTCAAGTGCAACGCGTGCAGGTATAGGTGTGCTTGAATTCCTCTTCCCACTCCGTCCATTCTCTGGGAGACTCATCCTGGTTGATTGAGGCTCTCCAGATACGGCAAGACACCTCAATAAGGAGTTTCAAAGCCGTGCAAAAAATGGCTTCACTCCCAGCAAAGAGCAAAAGGCAGCCCACAATCCAACCTACGTTTTAAGGCTTCCTACTGTCTTTTCCGCTTGACAGGCAAATCACTGCAAACCACCACAGAAGAAGTGGGCTTTTGTGTGTTTGTCTGTTTGTTTATTTTTCGGCTAACTTGGTATCAAACAAGCAATTTTATTAGACAGGCCAACGCTATGAAACAGGCCACAAGGTACCTCACCCCCTTTGAAGATCCTCTCCTCTCCCTAGCTGAAACAAATAAAGGAGCAGTGTCAACACTTCATTCGTTGCTGATTGAGGTAGATCAAGGATCATCAATGCGGGATATACGGGAACACGATTGGAATATTAAAATCCATCAACAGAAATGGTCAGGAATGTTTACGAAATTCTCATTTAAGGGTGTCTCTATTACAGCCAGGGAAATTGCATTGCAAATAGTCCAAAACTGGTATTTGACCCCACTATTAACCCTTAAATGTCACCAGTTTGTTGGAGAGGCTGTAAATGTAAGGGGTCTTTGCAACACCTTTGGTGATATTGCAAAAAGGTTGACAAATTTTTGGGAAGAAGCATTTAATGAAATAAATAAAATTACAAACCAGCCGGTTAATAAATCTCCCAAATTAGCATTTCTTACTCTTTTTCTAGGGAAAACGAATCCATTTCATACAAAAAATTAAAAGGTAATCTTTTGACTGCAGCAAGAGAGACCATAGCAAAAGGGTGGGGAAAAATGCAGGGAGTCTCAATTGCAGCAGGGTACACAACAGTATAGCAGGGAGCATTGCAAGAAAAAAAATGACCACCTAATTGCATATAGTTAAAGGGGACGTGGTGGCACTGCGGGCTAAACTGCAGAAGCCTTTGTGTGCTGCAGGGTCAGCAGACCAAGCAGTCGTAAGATTGAATCCACGCGACGGAGTGAGCGTCCGTCACTTGTCCCAGCTCCCGCCAACCTAGCGGTTCGAAAGCATGCAAATGCGAGTAGATAAATAGGGACCACCTCGGTGGGAAGGTAACAGCGTTCCGTGTCTAAGTCGCTCTGGCCACGTGACCACAGAAGATTGTCTTTGGACAAAAACGTTGGCTCTATGGCTTGGAAACGGGGATGAGCACCGCCCCCTAGAGTCGAACACGACTGGACAAAAATTGTCAAGGGGAACCTTTACCTTTAAAGGGATAAAAACACTTTGACTCTTTTGCAACTGACTGGCATCTTTTTACAGTATATATGAATAGAATGGATAATAAAGGACTCCCTGATGTATACAGAAATTATTGGCCATTGTAATATACCTGGAAGATATTTGTAATTTTCCCTGAAAAGATTTATAAGAATTTTGATACGGGTTTGCCATGGGTATGGGAATGGGAGGGAAGAAGGGCATAAAACATAAGAAAGTGTATATGTGAATGTATATACATAAAAAAAGGAAAAGAAATCTGTGGTTGTTCACATGCAGGCAGGCAGGCACACAGACACACACAGAGAGAGAGAGAGGGTTTGCCATGGGTATGGGAATGGGAGGGAAGAAGGGCATAAAGCAGAAGAAAGTATATGTGAATGTATATACGTAAAAAAAAAAAGGAAAAGAAACATACAGGCAGGCAGGCAGGCACACAGACACAGAGAGAGAGAGAGACAAACAGACAGACAGACAGACAGAGAGAGGCACCCCGTCAACCCACTGCGGAGCAATCCCCCCTCATCTCACCTGTTTCATTGGAGAAGCAGGCTTTGTGAAACTTCCCCATGTAGAATTCGAGCCCAATGATGGCAAACATCACAATGGCAAAGAAGAGGAGGAGGCCGATCTGGAGGAGGGGCACCATGGCCTTCATGATGGACTTGAGGACCACCTGCAAGCCTAGGCAGGAAGAAGAAGCCAAGACAAGGTCAGTCCTGCTGGGAGGGCCCAGGCAGAGATACCTCCCTGGCACTGGACTACCGAGTAGGCCCCGTAACACCTCAACGCTCAATGGGCTGCGAGAGGGGTGGCGAACCTTTTCCACTCCAGGTTTTATTTATTTATTTATTTGATTTGTTCGATTTATATCCCGCCCATCTGGTATATTCTACCACTCTGGATGACAATTCCCAGCATCCCCAGTCTGTATTGCCAAAGATAAAAGTACTGTGGGAGTTGTAGTCGGGAACATCTGGAGTGCCAAAGGCTCACCATCCTGAACCGATAAATCTCATCAGTCCTCAACTGCTGAACCCTCCCTAGATTACAGAATAGGGAAACAATTTCTGCCCACTTTAGATGCATTGAGGAAAGGGGGTGAAGGCACATCTTTCTGAACCATCTTCTAATATGGTTTGTTTATCTGTGTATTTATTTATTTATTGCTGTGGTTTTCATAGTTGATTTTGTTTTGTTTTAATGATTTGGGGATTTAATTTGTTTTGGTTTGTTGTTTTCATTACATTTTATGCTGATCGTAAGTTTTCTTGAGCCCTGCCTTAATAATGGGAAAGCGGCCGAGACATGCACAGCAATAGTGACAAGTAACAACAACCGTTAACAGTAATAATTAAATCATACATGTGAGAAACCCAAATGGACTTTTTTGCCCTCCTGGCCCAGGGCTGTGAGTAGGTAAGTCTTAAAAACCTGAGGCTCAACCTACCTGTCTTCGACCCTACTAGTACCAGCTTGAGTTGCCTGTCTTTTTCCCCCCGAGAAGCTCCATATCTTTGGCAGTTCAATAGCAGAGAAATATAACATACTTCTTTCTACACATTTTTGCTTCAATTCAGATTTTGAAGAATTTATTAAACATTCAAGCAGAAGGAGATAGCGTGAGGCTTTCAAAATCTAAAGGTGAGAGGACCAATTGTGACAGGTTTTTCTGATCCCTAACCCTAGAATAAGAGTGGACAACTTTGCTTGATCTGACGGCGACATTTCCACACCTTGGAAGACACTGTTCCTGGACCACCTCAGCTAAAAATGGAGCCGAAAATTAGGTAAACATCTTCATCAAATTTTTTGCTGGAAGTCCACTTCTGGTTTTCCCTTTCCGTAGACTTGGCTTATGGGGACACTGGAAGAAACGGGCACGCTGTTGTAATTGAACAACTGTCACCTCTAGAGACTTCCAGATGCTGAAAAGAACAAATCTAGTGGAGCGTCTTTCCTTCTGAACTTCGGCCTGCAGCACTCGATCTTCACAGCCTCTACTTTTGTGGGTAGCCACGCCGAGGGAGGCAAACGATGACGACTCCTCAAAACTCAGCCTTCTCAGTTGTGGCCCCATTTTTATGGAATGGGCTTCCATAAAAGCCCCCAGCCTTCAAGAGGACATGGAAGACGCAGGTCTTCAGAGAAACATTCAAGGACATCCTCTGCTGACTTAAGCGAGAAGCGAAACACCCACTCCACAGTCATTGAGGTTCTAGTTGGTATGTTTTGCTATTTACATTGGCAGTTGAATTTTTATTCCATTTTATGTTTCTTTTTAGTTGAACCTTTGGCGTGCGGGGTGGATTCACAAGTTGACTCAGAGGAACGGCAGGCGGTTTCCAGGCCACCCTGTCCCCGGCTTCCCCCCCCCTCCACAATGTGTAAAAAAGAAGGAGCCAATCCGGGAACCGTCCGTCCACCTCCGTGCCCTTCACCAGCACCAGATACACGTTCAATTAAAGGGACACTGAGAAGAGCCGAAGTCAAGGAGACCGCGACGTCAGGTGATTTTATGCCAACAGTGCAGAAGCGGTCCTCACGTGGCTTGGGGAGGGGGGGGGAGAGAGAGGGACCAGCTTGGCTGAAGCCACCATTTCTATGTGCCAGGAAACGTCAACAAGGTCTCAGAGGCAGCTGGCATGGTTTCGAAATAGGCATGAAAACGGTAACAGCAACCCATGAAGATTTTCTTTCAGTTTAGATTCTGATCAGGATTTGGCACCAGTTACAAAACTCACCATAAGACATATGAGGGGGAAAGAGGGTTTAGACTGTAGGGAAGTGAGAAAGATGTGCGTTCACGTCTTTCTCCAATCTGTGGTTCCTCCCTACATCCCAACAGAGACAGGATGGGGAGCTAAACACTTCGAAATCGATTTTTGCTTCTTTCTTTCCTTCATTCTCTTTCTTTCTTTCTTTCTTTCTTTCTTTCTTTCTTTCTTTCTTTCTTTCTTTCTTTCTTTCTTTCTTTCTTTCTTTCTTTCTACATACCTTCTGTCCATTCATTCATTCATTCATTCATTCTTTCTTTCTTTCTTTCTTTCTTTCTTTCTTTCTTTCTTTCTTTCTATGCCATGTCTTTCGCATTCTAGTATTCCTGATAGTTTGCATGCAGCAAAGGTCTTGGAAACCCCCCCCCTTCATGGCCCACCCCAAATGGAGGCTTAAGGGGGCCTGTTTCTCCTCTTATTTTCTTCCAGAAACCTCCAGTGACATTGGACGGCAGGACCGGCACTGTCCACGGTTCCCCGCGCCCTGTCCGCATGCATACTCACTTGGAATTCCCGAGACCAGCTTCAGCGGCCGCAACACTCGGACAGCTCTCAGAGTCCGTAAGTCAAACTGGGTCCCAGCGGTGGCTAAAATCCTAACCGGCCAAGGGAGATAAAAAGAAAGAGAAACCAGATTAAGGTGGCAGCTTTTGGAGACAGCAATAAATTCAAACTGACTGCAGCTTGCAGTGACTTAAACCAGCTTGGCCTCAACTCGGAAATAGACTGGGCAGTCACTTAACACTGAATCGACAAAAGCAGAGACCTGCTGGTAACACCCCATGTCTTTTGACACAAACCCCCTTTTTCAGCTCTCCGTCTGCCTATCACACATCGCGCTAGCTTCTAAAACATCACCAGATGAACTGGAATACAACTCCCATGGGTCATGCTGGCTAGGAAGGATGGAGGCTGTAGTCTAAAAAAAGAAAAACCTGAAGCTCGAATCGATCATGACTGTCCCACAACAGCAAAGCTCTCCAGAGGAGTCTAAAAGCACCAAAAAGCCTGTAGTCTAAAAAAAAAAAAACTGAAGCTCCGTTACGTACAAAGGGCAGGAATCGATCACGACTGTCCCACAACAGCAAAGTTCTCCAGAGGAGTCTAAAAGCACCAAAAAGCGGCATCGATTCATATTGACAGATGTGGTTCTATCAGTAGTCCCTTCCATCAGGGACGGGTCGTTGGTAAAGCAAACAGGTCTTAACTTAAAGACCAAGCTGCTGATGACACACACACACAGATACACAGAGACACACGCACCCCTCAGCCGGGCACAAGAAAACCACTCTTCTGCTACCAGGAAGCTGGGCGGGGGTGGCGGCAGATGATGCCATCACCCTCTTGACCAAAAGGTCCTAGCACCTCAACTTTGCGAGGGTGGCTTCGCTGTAAGGCTTTCCAACACAAGACATCCGTCACCTCCTGCGTTCATTTTCGCCAGAGCTGGAAGGAGGCTCTCTGTGGGCTGCAGGCAGCCCTCTAAGGTTACTTTGGGCAGACCCCCCCCCTCCAAAATGCCACTGCTGGGGAAGACGCCTGCAAAAGGAGGAGGGTGGAAAAGGAGGCAGGGAGAAGAGGGCTGGTCTCGGAGAAAACGTGGCGATCTTCCTTCTAAGCACTTTTTAATTTTACTTTCAAAGAGATGGAAAATGAGAGAGACAGGCCCTGAATCCTTAACCCATAAAAACTCGATTTCAAATCACCCTTGTCGCCATCTATCTGTACACCACCATGACCTGGAGTGACATGCCAACCTCAGACAACAGAAGCTAAGGATGGGCAGAACTGAGCGTGCCAGGCAGCCCACCCTTTACCCCCAAACCACAGACGACCCCCCCAACCTGATGCCAAAAGAGGAGGGCATCTGACCAAGCCTTCTCTAGACTACGCTCCCCCCCTCCCTCGTGACCCTCCCATCCCCAGCCAAGACGTTCAGCACTCTATTTTCCACCGACACCTTGTGAACATCCAGAGCGGGAGCAATTATATATTTAGAGAGAAAAAGCAAGAATGGGCAAACACAGGCTCCCAAATCTGCTGCACAAGCTGCCGAAAGTAATTTGAAGCAATAACTATCATGGCCAGAGAAATCTCATTTTGAGTTCCCCATCCTCACGCCAGCGCTTTCTCCCTTTCTTCCTTGTGTTTAATTGCTCATTTATAAAACATCAGACGCCTGGCAGAAGCCGACGCTTCATCCGAAAGTTAATCACCAGCCTTTCCTACCAGTGGCACCCAAGCAGTCTCGGGGGGCTTCCGAGGCGAGGCTCTGCCACGCTCTTCCCGGGGACCCCCTCCACCGCCCAGCGTCTCTGCTTTTTACCGCCAGGTTGCAAAGAGAAGGGGCGGCTGGACCTAGAGGCAGAAATCACGGTGGCGCAGAGCCATGAAAGGCACGGCAGGGGCTACCCCGAGGTCATCCAGCCCAACCCGGACCCCAGATCGCTTGTGTGGGACTTCCACGCTGCAAGGAACGAGCTTCGCACCTTATTGATCTCCTACCGTAGTTTGTCTGCCATCGAGGCTCCTGAAAGGAAGCGCCACAAAATAGATGGAAAACATTTAAAAATGGATCAGAAACCCATTTCTTAAAAAAACCCATTACTTTGCAGATTTTTCTCCCACCTGGCTGGGCGGCCACACAGGCTCCTTCCTCGGCTCATTCCTGCTAGGACGGCGCTCTCCTCTCTGCTTCTTGGCAGGGAAAAAAAAAACACGCCAACCCCCAAATGGGAAAGCAGGAGTAATTAACCAAAAGGCTTCTGATGGCTTTGTAGAAAATCACACCAAAACCCAGCCTTTTTCTTCCAGCACGCCAGCTTTTCCCACTGGAGTTTCTCAAGAAGAGAGCACAGCTAATTAGAAAACACGGTATTATTATTTTTAACAGGGGGAGGGAGGGAAAATGGGAGAGATCAAAGGACGGTTTGAGCACTGGTGTGTGTGTGTGGGAGAAATCTCACAAAAGTGCTCTCATGAGCCCGTAAAGCAAGGAGAACTCACAATGAAAGAAGCCACTGTTGTGGATTTTAAAAAAAGGCAGGAAGAGAAAAAAAGGTGATGGGGGGGCAGCTAAATGCCTTAGCTTCCTTTTGATCTTCTTGCCAGAGGCCCCCAGCACCCCTCAGCATTGGGGCCTAACTCGTTTTAAGTTCGTGGAACTGCCCAAAATACTCTCCCTGCAGAGCATTGTGGGGAATTCAAAATATTCCCTCTTTCCCACATAAGTAGTTCTGTTATGGCACTGATTCTGTTCTCCACCGCTTGTTATTATGTGCCGTCAAGTCCTTTGTGACTTAGGGTGACCCCCAACGGCCCTGCTCAGCTTTTGTAGACTTGAGCCAGTGGCTTCCTTGAGCGAGCCAGTCCATCTCGTGTTATGGGGTCTTCCTCTTTTCCTGCTGCTTTCTGCCTTTCCCAGCGTGATGGCCTTTTCTGGAGAATCTTGCTATCTCAGGATGTGCCCAAAGTAGGATATAGCCCAACTTTCAACATTTTTTACCTCCAGAGAGATTTCAGGCTTGATCGGATCTAGGACCCACTTGCTCGTCATCCTGGCAGCCCAGAATATCCACAAAGCTCTCCACAACTGAAGATATGAAAATCCAACCGTTTCCATTTCTCTTAATTTCTCAGAATCCAACCACCATGCATCTCATGACATCCCACATCTATGCTTTTTCCTTTCTTCCCATCTGGATCTCTTCTTGCATTGTTGTGTATATTCTTTTCCCAAAAATATATACATTTTTGTAGGTATTCTTCCCAACCCATGCAGTCCACACATTTTTCCTAGACTGTTTGGGAAAGTCCCAGAATCCCAGGAACTTAGGGAAAAAAACCACAAACCCCCACCAACCATCCAAAATACTGCATGCAAAATAGTACCAGGAAGGAAGGAGAGGAGAGAGAAAGGAAAGCAGATGATGAAACGGGGGCTGGGGCTGGGGGTGGCAAGGACCTCAAGGTGCCCTTGAATAGAGTGCAAGAATCCTTCATGTCTGGCCCGCCATCATTTCATCGACCACGGGACAGAAGGCTTTAGGGCCTCCGTGGAGAGCAAACGAAGAGAACTCGGATCTCAAAGCGTTCGCCTATACGATCCCTTTAAAAGCCCGGCACACGAGGACTGCACGACGCTCTCCATGTCACGGATGAGGAGGCCGGCGCCAAAAGACAGCCGTTTCCCTCTTCCCATCTCCGTGGCAGAGCCAACCTCGGAAGCAGGCAGTCTTTTGGCGTCGAGATCATCCTTTCCGCCACTCAGCTGCACGAGTGCCAACAACACGGATCCACAGGCAGGTCAGGCCAGGTGAAAAGCGGCCGTCTCTTTCCTTGGCACCGCACCTCCGTGTTTGACACCCTCTGCGCCGCACGGGGGCAGCCCTCTGAGGACACGGACGGAGGCTCTGCGCTTCCTTTCCCAAAGTTCAGCCGTCCTCTGGGCAGAAGTTGCCATGTCGGAGCCCCCAGCGCAAGAAGGAGAGCTGGCCGAAGGAGCAGAGGGCACCCGCCAGGGGACTTCACAGTGTCTGGCAAAAGATCTCGCCGGAGAGCCTGGGGGCCGGGGTGTGTGTGGAATGCTAGCCACAGTTGGGAGGCAGAGGGCCTTTCCCGACCTCCACAACAGGTCCCGTCGCTTTGTACTGCACAGGGAGCTGTCCACCTACAGTCTCCCTTGCCGGTCCATCGCAGGAGCAAAAGACGGATTCCGGCTCCTTTCGATGGCCTCCTCTGACCATTTTATAGCCATCACAGTAAGACCCATGATTCTGAAAACACACCACGCTTCTCCGAATTTTATTCCTAACTATTCCACCCCTCAACGCCCGCAATGCTGAACAACAACACCGAAGGCTTCTAGTCCTCCAGAATCAGAAATGGAGGAAACCTTAAGAAAACGATGTCTCCCCAAGTCCACCCCGCCGAGCAACAAAGGCTTATTATGACTCCCGTTTTGCAAGGGGGGGGGATTCACTCCATGTTTCAGTCCAAATTTTCATCCTCCCATCCAAGGTGCTGAACCTATTGATGGGCACAGGCTGGGCAAGATTAGCTAGCCTGAGGAAGAGCGAGAGCACGACTCCCCCATGTCACCAGCCTCCATGGGCCCCTCGAGATGGCGTGCCGGGGGGGGGGAGAGAATGGCCCTGGGTTGAAAGAAGTCAAGTCTTTTCACACCTCGCCAAGATTCCTCACTGGAAGAGGTTGACCTCCTTTTCCTTGGGAAGCGTACACATTTACTCAGCAAGAATTAGAATTCGGAAGTAGCTTGGGCTTTTTCTCATCCTGCACAAAAAAAAACCTTGAGTGTCTCGGTTAAGAAAAGGTCAGTTCCTCCAAGATTTCCTTTTCTGGTCAGCAAAACCTTTGGGGGGGGAGAAAAGAATGCTAGTACTTGTTGTTTTGTTTTGTTGTCCCCAAACATACACAGATCAACTTCTTCTTCTACATGACAAGACTGTGTGTGTGTGTGTGATGCCATGGCTAAGTACACACAAACACTCCTCCCAAAGAGTGCATAGAGGGGGGTAAAACTGAGGTTTGGATGAGGGTTTGAGGGTGCTGGGGACGCACCCCAGGTCAATCATGC